TCTGTCTTTTGACCGGAAAATTCATCATCCCAACTGTAAGAGCTACAATTGAAGATTTTTTTTTTTTCCTCTGCTACCAGTCGGGTTCTTGTAATCTCTAATCAGAACACTTTTATGTCATGTGCAGCTTAACAATCTTGCTAGCGTATGGTTTTTGGCTCTTTTCCTTTCCATCATTGCTACTGGCGTGTTAGAGCTCCGATGGAGTGGTGTCAGCCTCGAAGACTGGTGGCGTAATGAGCAATTCTGGGTTATTGGTGGTGTCTCTGCTCACCTTTTCGCCGTCTTCCAAGGTCTCCTTAAAGTCCTGGCTGGAGTTGACACCAACTTTACTGTGACAGCAAAAGCAGCCGATGATGCTGAGTTTGGGGAGCTCTACCTCTTCAAATGGACTACTCTGCTTATCCCACCAACCACCCTTATAATCTTGAACATGGTGGGAGTTGTGGCTGGAATTTCTGATGCCATTAACAATGGTTATGGTTCATGGGGTCCTCTGTTTGGGAAGCTGTTTTTCTCCTTCTGGGTTATTCTCCATCTCTATCCCTTCCTTAAAGGTCTGATGGGAAGGCAAAACAGGACTCCTACCATTGTCGTCCTTTGGTCAATACTTCTCGCTTCAATTTTCTCATTGGTTTGGGTCAGAATTGATCCTTTCTTGCCAAAGCAAACTGGACCAATTCTTAAACAATGTGGAGTGGAGTGCTAACCATAATCCTGTTGATTATTTACCTTCTTCTTGAATGAGTTTGTGTGTAGCACCTTATGGAACTTTCTCTTGCACAAGTCTCTTAAATGTTAATAAGTTTTCAAAGAAGGGTGATTTGAGCATATATATATCCAGTATCATTGAGAGAGCTTTTGATTAGCGGAGTGGAAAGGGTAGAGAGACTTGGCATATGTAGTTAGAAATACTATTCTGTGTATTATAAACTGGATACAACCACATATCACAATCTGTTTGCAAAATTTTGACCCATATGGCAATTAAGAATTGTTTGATTGATGTCATTTTGCAGATTAAATGAGAATGCATATATATATATATATATGTATGTATGTGTAGCGACCCTCCTTTGAGGCCGCCACTGTAACTAACTTTTTAACTTGTACTTACTGAAATTTCTTAAAATTTACGGAACATTTTTTTTTTTAAGGGTCTTATTATAAACATAAAATACGAAATTGCTTTCTTAATTAAAATATTCAAACCTTAACATATCTGTTTCATAATCATAATTAACAAAACTATTTGTAACATAAAGCTGATTGCGGAAATATTTGCGAGTGGTATCCATATCCCGAGCTCCACATCGTTCGTCCACTCGCCAGCAGTCCATCAGGCATTATATGCCGGTTGCTTACCTACAGTATAAACATTCTATAATGAGCTTTCGCTCAGCAAGTAGGAACTATCTCCCGCAAAACAACTGTAAGTTCACATGAATAAATATGCATGAGCCAATTATGCTTAATTATGATGTCTTATCAGAATCTTATTATCTTATCTTATCTTTCTTACTGATGGGCCCGAGTGCTCGTACCACTTGCGCGCAATCATCGGGACGTGAGGGTTTGCAAGGTCCCCCATGACACCGTGATTATAACTTGAATGCCTCCCTTGAGTCAGAGGACATCATTATTATTATTTTTTTCTCCCTTGTGGAGCTTGAGTTACCTCCCTTGTGGAGG